TTAATTTGAGGGTATTTACATCCAAATCAGGTGAACGGTGTAGGAATTACAACAGTTTGCATTAGTGCCTCCCACTTGTTAAGGGACCAAAAGTAATGGGACAGAATCATAATCATAAATCAAACTTTCACTTGGTTGCAAATCCTTTGCAGTCAATTACAGCCTGAAGTCTGGAACGCATAGACATCACCAGACACTGGGTTTCATCCCTGGTGATGCTCTGCCAGGCCTCTACTGCAACTGTCTTCAGTTCCTGCTTGTTCTTGGGGCATTTTCCCTTCAGTTTTGTCTTCAGCAAGTGAAATGCATGCTCAATCGGATTCAGGTCAGGTGATTGACTTGGCCATTGCAGAACATTCCACTTCTTTCCCTTAAAAAACTCTTTGGTTGCTTTTGCAGTATGCTTTGGGTCATTGTCCATCTGCACTGTGAAGCGTCCAATGAGTTGTGAAGCATTTGTCTGAATATGAGCAGATAATATTCCCGAAACACTTCAGAATTCATCCTGCTGCTTTTGTCAGCAGTCACATCATCAATAAATACAAGAGAACCAGTTCCATTGGCAGCCATACATGCCCACGCCATGACACTACCACCACCATGCTTCACTGATGAGGTGGTATGCTTAGGATCAGGAGCAGTTCCTTTCCTTCTCCATACCCTTCTCTTCCCATCACTCTGGTACAAGTTGATCTTGGTCTCATCTGTCCATAGGATGTTGTTCCAGAACTGTGAAGGCTTTTTTAGATGTCGTTTGGCAAACTCTAATCTGGCCTTCCTGTTTTTGAGGCTCACCAATGGTTTCCATCTTGTGGTGAACCCTCTGTATTCACTGTGGTGAAGTCTTCTCTTGATTGTTGACTTTGACACACATATACCTACCTCCTGGAGAGTGTTCTTGATCTGGCCAACTGTTGTGAAGGGTGTTTTCTTCACCAGGGAAAGAATTCTTCGGTCATCCACCACAGTTGTTTTCCGTGGTCTTCCGGGTCTTTTGGTGTTGCTGAGCTCACCGGTGCGTTCCTTCTTTTTAAGAATGTTCCAAACAGTTGTTTTGGCCACGCCTAATGTTTTTGCTATCTCTCTGATGGGTTTGTTTTGTTTTTTCAGCCTAATGATTGCTTGCTTCACTGATAGTGACAGCTCCTTGGATCTCATCTTGAGAGTTGACAGCAAAAGATTCCAAATGCAAATAGCACACTTGATATGAACTCTGGACCTTTTATCTGCTCATTGTAATTGGGATAATGAGGGAATAACACACACCTGGCCATGGAACAGCTGAGAAGCCAATTGTCCCATTACTTTTGGTCCCTTAACAAGTGGGAGGCACATATGCAAACTGTTGTAATTCCTACACCGTTCACCTGATTTGGATGTAAATACCCTCAAATTAAAGCTGACAGTCTGCCGTTAAAGCACATCTTGTTCGTTTCATTTCAAATCCATTGTGGTGGTGTATAGAGCCAAAAATGTTAGAATTGTGTCGATGTCCCAATATTTATGGACCTGACTGTATGTGATGCTATCATGTCAATATAGACCAGTGTGAGGAATGTTTCCAACAACTTGAATCTATGCCATGAAAAATTAAGGCAGTTCTGAAGGCAAAAGAGGGTCCAACCCAGTGTACCTAATAAAGAGGCCGGTGAGTGTAGATATACACATATATGTATAAATGTACAGCCTGACTGGATTCTAATGCTGACCCTTCCTCTCCCCACCCGAGTGCTAATATGCAGGATTTCACAGGTGGGTGATTTTAAGAAAGTTTCAGGTACTTACTTTAGTTGCATATGAAGTAGAAGGATGCTCAAAAAAAATGAGGCAGTCTGCTAATAATTCATTTAAACTGAAATGAAAGCCCATTTCTATCTAATTCTTTAAGCAGTTACAGGCAACAGGTTTTTCTTCTTCTCTCTGTGATGCCTGGTGGAAAATAGTATTGCTCTCATTGTGTGTCTTTAGGTTTCATTGAAGGGTATCGGAGGAATCACATTTCCTGTCTGCTGAAAACCCAGTCTTCCCAAAGACCTCCTTATTGTCCTAGATATGTCCCTGGGATTCACTGCTACTGTGCCCCATGTGATGCAGACAACTTTGATATTGGGAGTTTCACCCGATTGAAAAAGTTTCAGCGAAGTCCTCTGCACAATGAATACTTGGAACAGCAGCGAACTGTATACTTGTATGAATGTATGTATGAAGGCAGCGTCATTTCTTATTGCATTAGGTGATTTGTGCTGTATGGTCTGGTTATGCAGGAACAGTAAGGAATACATTATGGGAGCTCTGACTAGTGTCTTATTCTGTATAGTATGATCTAAACTGCAAATGCACATAACGCTCAGCATTTTACAAACTCCTCCTTCAGTTGTATCTGGTCCCTTCGAGGATCTATCATGCCATCTCAGCCTATTCTCTTTGCTTACAAGGGTGTCATAACAATGGTTTGTTCCAGCACATCTCGGGAAGGTCAAGCGCTTCTGGACCAGAGTATATCAACTGCTATGTAGTTACTGGTATCTCTTTCCGCAAGGACCTGTATGAAGATCTGCTTATTAATAGTCACTTTGGGTTGGTCACTCTAATGAAAGTCAAAAGGGTTATAGCTAGAGTCTTGAAGTCCCCAATACTATCCTTTGCGGAAGTCAAGTGCCAGATTTCTCAGGTCAGGTTTTTAAAAACTTATGGCTATACAGACACAATGAAAAAATTCCAAAAACCGTGGGTCGAGTCCTATGTTAAAGGTCATAATTTTGGGTGGCTCTGTTCCTCATTGTCACCTATCCCTCCCCCACCTTTCCCATCATTTCCTCATCTTCCCTCCCTAGCACCCCTTGACTAGGCACTCTCTGTCAATATGTCTGTTTTGTGTTATATATGTACTGTACAAGCCATAAAGTGGTTGTAAACCCACATATATACCCAGTGAATCTCCTACATAAATTGTACCTGTTTATCTGCAGCCTTCTCTTCTCTAAAGCTGTTCAAAATTCAAACTCCAGAAAGTTTACAGTTTGTCTGAGCTTCCAGAGAGCAGGGAGGGGGGGAGATGAGGTTACACTCTGCAGAGCACAGTGAGGAGAGCTGTTTGGAGAGAAGGGACACACCCCCTTCACACAGCACACCCCACCCCCTTCACACAGCACACAGAAAGAGCTGAGGCTGTCAATCATAGACTGTGTGCTGTAGCTTCCTCCCTTGTAACCTTTTTACCTGTTGGTGTCAGGAAAACTATTCACAAGTGACTTGTGCAGATAGCAGAGAAACAGAGCAGCAGAAATGACACATAGTGCTCTTATTTGAGACAGACACACACTACATGCTTTGTACATATTACACATCTGAGGCTTACAACCAGTGCTTCGTAAACTGTTGGTGCTATATAAATCCTTTATAACAATTATACGGTACTCATCAGTCAATTAATCTTATGTGCTTACACTAGGAATGTGCTTCCACTTTTTCAAAAATCAAAGAGGCTGCATTAGGTTTCTTTTTAATTTTTGTTGCCTACATTTCACCTGATCCAGTTAGTAAGTCTGTTAATGTTCAAAATCCTTCAACAGACCAAGCAAAAGGGGCACTTGGAGGGTTGGGACAAACCACTTAACACTGACATCAGCACTTGCAATGGTAACCTTTTATTCATTTCTGTAAAACATTTATCAGAAAGGAAAAAAAAATAGTGGCTGGAGTTCAGCTACAATTTCTTACTCAAGTTCACTTAAAGTGGATGTAAAGGCTGAAGGTTTTTTTACCTTTATGCATTCTATGCATGAAGGTAAAAAAAGCTTCTGTGTGCAGCAGCTCCCCCAGCCCCCTCAATATTGGCCTGAGCCTCATCGCGATCCAGCAATGTGAATGACAGCCTCGGCTGTCCCGGGTCTCTCTGCTTCCTCATTGGCTGAGACAGCAAGCAGAAGCCATTGGCTCCCGCTGCTGTCAATCACAGCCAGTCAGCCAATGAGGAGAGAGGGAACGGGGCCACACTGTGGATCCATATGTGAATGGACACAGAGCAACGGGTGCCCCCATAGCAAGCTGTTTGCTGTGGGGGCACCCGACAGACAGGAGGAGCAAGGAGAGCCTGCGGGGGGTTCCGAGAAGAGGAGGATCCAGGCTGCTCTGTGCAAAACCACTGCACATGTATATCCTGTTTGTTATTTTCCAAAAAAAAAAGACTCTTTAGAATCGCTTTAAATTTGCTAGTGCATCTAAATACTATCTATTACCCCAATTTACAGTGCTGTTGTGTCCAAAGGACCAAAAGCCTGAAAAAAGAAAAACTAATGCAAGCACCACATTTAAGGATTAGTAAGCAGTAATATGCATGTTTTTGGGTTTACTGCCACTTTATAGCATATCTATGGTCAAAATGTAAACTCATATTTATATATCATATTTCTTTCCATACTGTATTTCAATTATTTCTAGCCTACTCCTATTAATCTGAACTATTGAAATTTGTAGTTGGAGTTTCAGGAGGCAGAGTCAGTGCAGGAATAACTGCTTGAAGGCAGCAAGGTGCCAAGAAATATGTAGTCCTTGAAACTGAAAATAAACAGCAGAGGGAAAGCTAGAAAACATGCAGAAAGTTCAGGGAGTAGTGGAAAGAGATGGCCAGCAGACAGGTAGCACTCACAACCTGAGAGGATCTTTGCACTTTATGCATTTTTCCTGAAAATGCTCAGCTTAGTTCCAATCTCATGATCTGCTCTAGTACTGGTCATTGAGGTTGCCCATCATATTGAAGCCTCAGTAGGTGAGGCCGACTGAAACAATTACAAGAGAAGTCCAAGTTTACCTAATCTAACATTTTAGACAGTTCACTGAAAGTAAACTCAACTTATGTATTTTCACCACATGCTCAAGAGTGGGGTGCATGTAATAAAGCAACTAAAAGTGACCAGTACAAAACAATGAAAGTAAAGAGTGCAGATAGGGCCACTAAAAGTGGGGCATGGGGCAATCAAACATAGTACACTATGACCTACCTGCATATTCATAGAACCATTCTAGGCATCTTTTGCTGGAGAAAGCTTCTTCCTCTGCTCTTATTCTGGAGGAATCATATTTTTTATACATCCTAAAGACATAAATAAACATACATACCCATGTTAAAGACAATGGCAACATTATTTAATATTCATTTTTTCTTGTCAGTTTTCTACAAAAAAATAATTATTTGTATACAATTTAAATATGACTTATCAGTAGGCACGTTTTTAGCAGAAGTTCCCACTCAAACTGACACATAAACTTGTGTACCCCATTCTGCCAATTTGTGCTGTGTGTCTACCTGCAAGTGAATAATCCAAACGCACATGTTCCTGCATGGCTGTGTGTATAAGTGGGTGCTGCAATGACCGTCGGCTGGAACCGAACAAAATCAGCAAGGAAAAAATGTCACCAGCACACCGAGGATCACCAATATGGGTTCAAAGTTTTTAATAAACGATCACATAGTTACAGCAAGGCAACGTTTCGGAGTCTCACAGGACCCCTTCATCAGGCATGTGACCTCAGGAAGGGGTCCTGCGAGACTCCGAAAAACGTTGCCTTGCTGTAACTATGTGATCGTTTATTAAAACCTTTGGACCCATATTGGTGATCCTCGGTGTGCTGGTGACTTTTTGTCCTTGCTGTGTGTCTACCTGGCACACCTTTATAACACTCCAGACAGCAGTGCAATATATCCTGCTGTACATGGAGCTGTGCCTGCTGCATGCCCAGACACCAATGTATATGTGGCAGCTGCTCAAAGCAATTTCCCTATGCTACAAATGGAAGAAGTAGCAACCAACTGTGCAAGACTTCCCAGAGTCACCCAAGCACTGGCTGTGGTGCCATGTCATCCGAATGAAAATGTCACTTTCTAGCAGTGCTCATGCATCAGGGCGGCACTCGCAGCCATCGATCAGTATGTATAGGTGGCAGCTGGCTGTGCAGTGTATGGAACTGCTCAAGGAGATTTCCCTATGCTACAAATGGAAGAAGCTGCAATCAACTGCGCAAGATTTCCCAGAGCCACCCAAGCACTGGTTGTGGTGCCATGCCATATGAATGCAAATGTCACTGTCTGGCAGGGCTCATGCATCAGGACGACACTCACAGGCATCAATCAGCATTTCCAGTGTGGAGAAAAACCTTTGCCAGACATCCATTTCAAACATAAATGCTCAACAGTGCAGAACCGAGGCTGACACAGAATGAGATTGTGACCACTCATCTGAAGGTCCTGTAATTGTAATGCCTATGGGTAGAACTTTCCTGACAGCCCTTCCCTGTGTGTATCGGGAAGGTTAAAATCGAAAAGTGGTTGTAAACCCTTAAAAATACCCAGTGAAGTAACCGGTCTCAGATGATACACAGAGATGAAACAAATCCTCCTACACACATTGTACCTGTTTATCTGCTTCTTCTCTACATCTGTTCAAAGTACATAATTTATACAGCTTATCTGAGAGTTCAGAAAAAGGGGCGCAGAGCTGAAATTACACATTGCAGAGCTTAGCGAGGAGAGCTCTAAGAGCTGATTGGAGGGAAGAGACACACCCTCTCCACACAGCCCAAAGGAACAGAGCTAAGGCTGTAATCAGTTGGAAGCTCCTTCCGTCACCATTTTTCTCTTGGTGTCAGGAAAATGTGTCAAAAGTGATTGATGCTGACAGCAGAGGAATGAAGCAGTAGACAGAGATGACACTTAGTGCTTTGGATTGAGACACGTACACACTATAGAGGGATATGCTTTGTTCAAATTTCATGTCTGGGGTTTACAACCACTTTAAATGTTCCAGCTTCAATTATAAATGCCATCTATAAATGCTTATGCTGTGATGGACAGCTTAATGTAATATTTTGTATTATTTCTGTGAAATAACACATCAATTTGGGATAGTTCCATATGAGATGGATAAGGTTCCGCCTTGTATTTTTTAATGAATACAAGGCATTCTCTGATTAGATGAAGTGAAGATACACGGCAAGGAATGTCACAAGTTCCGCCTCGTCCAATCAGATAACACCTGTAATTCAATTTAAGAAAAAAAATGTAAAAAATACAAAAGCATCCTGTGAATAGCTGTAGTGACAATGGAGCAATCCCTGTGGTCATGCAAAAAGGTCTTAGGCCCCTTTTACACGGAGGGTCTGATCAGGTCCACCTGTTTTTCAGGTGGAGCTGCTTGGACGGTCCATTGACCACCATGGAAAGAGGGTGTAAACAGCCTTGTGTCCGTTTACCCCCACCTACCTCTGGGTCCTATCTGCTAACAAAAAAAAAAAAAAAAAAAAAGGAGGGGGAAAAGGGGTATGTCCCTTTCCATTCAGGAGGATAAGATCAGAGGGTCGTTGGTTGTAAACAGACAAGGGAGTCTGTTTACACCCAGACACACATAGAGGACTCCTAATCAACATGAATGTTATCACTTAAAACGGTATGAAAACAAAAAATGTATTATATTGCAGCTTACCAATCATTAAAAGTGGTGGCTGCATCAGCTTCCTTTTCTTTGTTTTTTTTGCCCCATTGTTTTCACCTGGTGATCAAAAACACACCGGCTGTGTGCTCCACTCTGGATGAATGAGCACAGGAGGCACAACAGACAGCAAACATTGTCAGTCTGGGGGGGGGATGTAGTGTTAAAGGTATTAGCAGATTTAAATAAACTAACAAATCTGAGTCAAACTCCAGCTCACATTTTATAATCAGTTAAAGCAAACAGTGTTTTTCCTTTTGTGATAAATGTTTTACATTAATAAATAAATGAGGATTATTTTATACATACTGCCAATGAAAAAGGATTGTCTCATCAATGTAAACTGATAAAATTCTGCTGGAGAGATTGTGTTTTTGAAAAACAATAGTCTTTCTGGCTGGATCACCAGATGAAAATTGAAGAAAGCCTAAAAAAAAGAAAATGAATACAGCCTTAACATTTAACCGCACCACATTCCTGCCCAGTACCATTAGTACAGTGTCAGTGCTTTTTTTTTTTTTTTAAGCACTGATCACTGTATTGGTGTCACTGGGGATGTCAGCGATACCAAGTCAGTTCCCCTCAGTGTCAGAATGCCCGCCACAATCCTGCTATAAGTCGCTAATCGCCGCCATTATTAGTGAAAAAAAAAAAATTCCAGTATCTATAGTGCCATTTGTAAATGCTATAACTTTCATGTAAACCAATTTATTTACACGTATTGGGATTTTTTTTTTTAGCAAAGACATGTAGCAGAAAACATTTTGGCCTAAATTTGACTTTTAAAATTTTTTTAACTGATACAGAAACACTGCTACAGGGCGGCACGGGTGCACAAAATCACGTGTATAAGTGATTCGCGCTTCCAAGGTTTTCGTGCCCCTCCAAGATACCGTCAGATTGCCTGTCAGTACACCAGTAATCACATTTAACCCCTTGATTGCCAGGAACACACTAACACAATAAACCTCCATTGCTAGTATAGTGTCTGAACGGATCAATATCTTTGATCAGATCAGCACTATACCAGTGTTCACATTAGTATACTGTCCCCAAAAACGCAGCATTAATGGGATCAGCCCCTGAACCTGCGTTTATCCCCTACGCTTCCCCCCCCCCCTTCTCCCCCAGCAAGTGCAGTTTCAGTAGTTCACTGTCACTTGATACATTGCACACAAAACCGCAGTGTTCGCAGAATCAGGCCTGATCTCTGTTAGCACTTGCCAGTAAATTTTGATGATTTGATGACTCTCATATGCAGCAGAGTGCCAGTACTAGTGCCGCTCTACCTTTTGGTGAACTGGTGAGCACCAGCGGCCTAGTACATCCTGGTCTTTCACATACCAGCACTGCAGTATCACTTGGTGACGTGGCAAGTCCCATAAGTGCAGTACAAGCTGGTGCAATGGCTAGCACAAGTATTGTCCCGCAGCCACCAAAAATTTGCACACAGGCCCGTAGTCTTTAGTATCCTTCCAGATGTGCTTGCAAATCCCTATTGGCATCCCACAAATATTTTAGCACTTGTACTTCCCCCATTCAACCCGCCCACCCGGAATTAAGGGTGGAAACAGAAAATTTAATCACTCCCCTTGATTTTTTGGAGCTGCTTTTCACGGAAGATCTGTATGCATTGATTGTGGATCAGAGCAATTTATATGCACAACAATTTATCGCCGCCAACCCAAATTCAAACCTTGCCAGACCATTCGCATGGAAACTCATTACGGTTTCCGAATTTAAAGTTTTTTTGGGTCTAACCCTCAACATGGGCATTACTAAAAAAAATTAATTACGGTTGTATTGGTCCACAGACCCGATTCAGCATATGTCCGTGTTCTCTGCTGCCATGGCCAGGCATAGATATGAGAGTATAATGTGTTTTATGCATTTCAATGACAATACACTGTTGTCCTCGGAGTGACCCTGAATTTAACCGGCTCCACAAAATTCGGCACCTCGTAGATCACCTTAACTAAAAATTTGCAGATGTCTATACTCCCCAGCAAAACATCTGCGTTGATGAGTCCCTCATTAAATTTTCTGGCCGCCTTGCATTCAACCAATTACTCCCCAGCAAGCGTGGCAGATATGGGGTCAAGATGTATTAGGACCTGTGAGAGGCCAACAGGTTATACATATAAGTTTCTGATTTACGAGGGAAAAGATAGTCACATGGAGCCCCTCGGATGCCCAGACTACATGGGGAGCAGTAGCAAGATAGTTTGGGACTTGGTGTCATCCTTTTTCCATATGGGGTACCACTTATACGTGAACAATTTTTAGATAAGAGTGCCACTATTTAGACATTTGTACAATCTTGGAATTGGCGTATGTGGCACTATGCGACCTAATCGCCAGGGCTTCCCCCAACGGCTTGCAAATACCCATCTTAGAAAGGGGGAAAAAGCCTGCTTGAGAAATGAGGATGTCATTCAGCTGAAGCACCAACTTGTTTATTCTGACAGCAACAGTGTCTTGCTCTCAGAATATACATAAGTAGGTATTTGCAGTGCTGTTGGATGAGATTTTTCATCCGCAGTTACAAAAAGAGCATATAGGACCACCGACGTACTGATACATCACTGGACTTTGAGTGGTTATACCAGGATGAAGCTGGCAGCTGCAGGCATCATCCTGGTATCGTTTCTTTTCAGCCGGTGATTGGCTTTCATGTAACAGCAATCCTAGTGGCTAATTAGCTGCAGGATTGCTTTTGCAAGCAGCGGGAGATGATGCCCCCCCCCCTCCCCTGCTGCCTCCCACAGCCGGGCAGTCCTGTGCCAACGGAGGAACCTGAGAATGCAGCCGGTGTTTCAGCCAGCTGACCATGCAGATGATTGGATACCGAAATGGTGCCAATCATCTCTATAATCTAAGAAATCAGAATCTACGAGCATTTCATCATTTCAGTTTCGAAGGATATAAACAACGCCATTTGTAAATTGGGAAAGCATCTGATCACACCAATCTTGGTGAGATTTAGATAATGTAAGGGCAGAGGAGATATCTAGAGTCTGATAGAACCCAGATTTCTCAATCTTTGAGATATTTGCCTTCCCTGTGATAGCATTAAAAAAAATGAAAGGGACAGTGTAAAAATAATTTAAAAAAATCAAAATAACTTAAAAAAAAAACAAAAAACACCCTCGTGTGCACGAGCGTTGACCTTGTGCCAGTATGTTAATAGCGGTTGCACCATGCAGGTGAGGTATTGCCACAAACGTCAGATCAAGGCCAGTAATTCTTGCACTAGACCTCCTCTGTTAATCTACAATGGTAGCTTGTAAAGGCTTTGAAATCATTGCCTATGGATATTAAAAATGTATGAAGTTTGTCACCATTGCAGGGGGCATGCGCAGTTTTAAATGTCATGTTTGGTATCTATTTACTCGGCATACCATCATATTTTATATTGTACCAAATAATTGGCCAATATATTGTGTTTTTGTTCATTAAAATAAAAAAAAAGAGAATTTATTTCACAGAAAGTAAAAGCTGTGTAAATTCCATTATCTATGCCATAGTTTGTAGATGCTATAACTTTCACACAAAGCAATCAATAACACTTATTGGGATTTTTACCAAAAACATGCAGCAGAATACATTTGGGCCTAAATTTATGATGAAATTTGAGTTTACTATCTATTTTTTTTATAGCCAAAAGTAAAAAATATTGTTTTTCTTCAAAATTTTCGGTCTTTTTTGTTTATAGCGTGAAAAATAAAAAGCGCACAGGTGATCAAATACCACCGAAAGAAAGCTCTATTTGTGTGAAAAAAGGACGTACGTTTCATTTGGGTACAGCATTGCATGACTGCGCAATTACCAGTTGAAATAGTGCAGCGCTGAATAGCAAAAAGAGGTTTGGTCAGGAAGGGGGGGTAAATCCTCAGGGGGGCAAGTGGTTAAAGGGATTGTAAAGGACACAATTTTTTTTTTCTTTAACCACTTGAATATTGTACACTTTCACCCCCTTCCTGCCCAGGCCAATTTTCAGCTTTCAGCGCTGTCACACTCATGCCAATTAGTCATGCAACACTCTATCCAAATTAAATTTGTCATTTTCTGGGAGCTTTTTTTTGGTGGAGTTTAATCACCTCTGGGTTTTTTACTTTTTGCTATATAAATGAAATACAACCAGAAATTTTGAACAAAGTGTTCTTCTTAGTTTCTGATAAAAATGTTTGCAAATAATCATTCTTCATAAATTAAGGACAAAATTTAATCTGCTAAATTTTTGGGGTAAAACTAACCCAAATTAGTGTATATGATTTACTCTGTAAGAAAGTTATAGAGTCTACCATCTATGGTACATATATATGAAAACTGATCAGTCCTGAGGTACTGACTGTCTATCTCATTTCCTGAGACCCTAAAATGCCAGGACAATACAAATACCCCCAAATGACCTCTTTTTGGAAAGTAGACATCCCAGGGGATTTAGTAAGAGGCATGGTAAATTTTTCTGAAGTTGTCATTTTTGTCCTACAATTCTTTTGGAAAATGAAAAAATTAAGAGGTCACAGAGAGCTCCCAATGCGCGCTCCAGGGGGGGGGGGGGGTGCAGGAGGCACGACGACTGGAGGGCTGCGATGTAGCTGTATATAGGCTATAGCACTGTTGGAAAGTGGTTACAAAAAAAAACAAACATGTCGTAATTACCTGCTCTGTGTAATGGTTGTACACAAAAGGAGCCCCGATCCTCCTCTTTTCAGTCCCCCCACTGATGCTCCTAGCCCCTTCCCCCTGCTGAGTGCCCCAGAGCAAGAACTCGTGCAAGTGCGGTGTGGCCCCACCCCCTGCTTTCTCCTCACTGTCTGTGACTGAAAGCAGCAGGAGGCAAATGGCTCCCGCTCTGCTGTCTCTCAGCCAATGGTGAGGCAGGCACCCGGGAAAGCTTCTACTCTCAAGCACATCGCTGGATTGGGAGCGGGCTCAGGTGAGCATAGGGGGAAACTGAGGGGGAGCTGCACACTGAAAGTAGAATGCAGGAAAAGAAAAAAACCTTCAGGCTTTGGAACCACTTTAAGAATTGATAAGCTGCAATATAACAAATGTTTGCTTTTTGGTTTAATACCACATTAAGTACCATTTGCTGATGTACACACTTTAATTTAACAACATTCTACTATGTTTCTTAACACTCCTCTATTAAGCTAAATATAAAATTACTGAAACAGAAGATAAAACTCTGGATCCTAAACACCTACCCATCATGTCTACTTTTCTTAGCCAACAGGTCATCTCCCGCTGCAGGTCTCCTCTTTTTCCTTGGTGGCATGGTCTTACTAAAACAGTCTGAAGTGCTGCACGAACGCAGACTCCCTGAAAAAAGGAATTATTGATAGTAAAAAAAAAAAAAAAAAAAAAAAACAAGAAAAGGCTCAAATATAGCCAGTATTGTATTTCCCTTCTATAATCATGAGACCTCTGAGATGTGCTACACTGGTATTACACAAGAAAGGTGTATTATGGGGCTAACTCACCCATAACTGGAGCAAAAAGGAAGAATATTGAGAAGCAGGTTTCATCTTTTATTTTGTAATAAGAAACCCAAGAAAATAAAACAAAGATTTTGAATAGAACAGCAACAGCTCCGCTCTTGTTTGCTTCCGTTTTCAGAAAACAGCCTCTTGAAATGTGAACTTATACCAGGCATAAGACTATACTTAAACATTCATCACTATGGAAGCTGCAATTTGCTGGAAACTAAACCAAAGATGCAGAAAGCATAATTTATTTGTGGAATGCACCGCACTGAAACTCCTTTAAATGTCACAATTTCTAGAAGAATTAAAAGTTACTTAGAGTTACTAAGAGAAGCAATGAGCATTTAAGGCTTAAAGCAGAACTTCACTCTCTCAAGCAAAATTTACTATTTTTAATCCTTATGCTGCTAGTATTAGTAAAAAGATCAGAAAGTATATAAGTACTTGTTCTAAACAGTTTTACATTTCTTCAGCTACTTCCTGGTTTCCAGTCCTAGGCAAATGATGTCATACATCCCAGAAGTCTTTAGGCGGAGAGGAGGGGTTTTCTCGGCTAAGCACACCCTCCTGTCTAGATGATTGAGCTACGGGCAGATGGATTCCAGGAAGTAAACGCTGCATGAATCTTCTGCCTTTACTCAAGATGGCCACGGCCAGAAATGCTAGGAGAGGTGTCTTTCAAAGTGATTTCTCAGCAAAATAAAGCATGGAGACATGGATGGATGGGTGAGTTTACTTCAGGGTGGATTTGATTTAAATCAAGTTGATTTAAATCACTAGTGAAAAGGCTCAATCTATATCATAATTTTTAAAGAGCAACTGTCATCTCTGTCCTGCAGCGGCTCCTCCTCTGAACGGCTGTTGACTCACTGACAGTCCCATTCAATATTTTTTTAACGAGAGGCCATATTTCTACTTAAATAGTAAAATAGTATTGAATACATCACCATTTCTCTCAGTAAATGACATGAAATTGTCACCACATAGTCAGTAACAACCCATGCAATCCATACATGCAAAGAAACCAAAACAAATAAGTTGAGAATTGAAATTATGTGTAATAAAATGGAATGACACAGGGAAAAAGTAATGAACATGCTAACTTAAATTTATTTAATATTTCATACAAAACCCTTTGTTGGTAATGACAGCTTCAAGATGCCCCCAGTATGGAGAAACCAGTCGCATGCATTGCTCAGGTGTGATTTTGGCTCATTCTTCCACAGTCTTCAAATCTTGAAGGTTCCATGAGCCTCTGCTATGAGCTCTGATCTTTAGTTCTTTCCATAGATTTTCTATTTATTCAAGTCAGGTGATTGGCTGGGCCATTCTACCAGCTTTAATTTTTTACTTTGAAACCAACTGAGAGTTTCCTTGGCTTTGTGTTTGAGATCATTGTCTTGCTGAAATGTCCACCTACGTTTCATCTTCATCATCCTGGTGGTAGATGGCAGCAGATTTTTATCAAGAATGTCTTGGTACATTCTTCCATTCATCCTTCCTACAACATGAAGTTTTCCACTACTGTATGCTGAAAAACAGCCCCACACCATGATGTCCCCACCTCCAAACTTCACAGTTGGTATGGTGTTTTTGGGGTGATGTGTAGTGCCATTTGACCTCCAAACATGGTGCATATTATGGCATCCAAAGAGTTAAATTTTGGTCTCGCATGACCAGACTATATTCTCCCAGTATTTCACAGGCTTGTCTAAATGTTGTGGAGCAAACTTTAAACAAGCTTCAACATGCTTTTTGTTCAGCAATGGAGTCTTGTCCTTATGGTCTCTAGCCAATCACTGATTAGCATTGTATTATGCATGTTTTTTAGTCAACATTAGCGCTTCACTATTTTACTTTTGTTGTTTTATTCATCATCCTTGTGGTTAAGGCAAGTGTGAGCTGCTTAGTAGTAGAACATCCATATAGCGCAGGAGGTCTCTTCTATTGTGTGGTGAGTGTGCATACAGGCCATGGCGGTTGAGTGCACTACTTACTGTTTTCTTTTCAAACCATAGTATCTGCTAATTCCAGGTATTTCTGAAGCTCTCCACACGTGGTCTTTGGCTCTTGGACAACTCTTCTGATAATTCTTTTCACTCCTCTGTCAGAAATCTTGGGAGGAGCACCTGGCTGTGGCCGGTTTATGGTGAAATTATGTTCTTTCCACTCCGGAATATGGCCCCAACAGTGCTCACTGGAACATTCAGATGTTTAGAAATCCTTCTGTAACCAATGCCATCAGTATGTCTTGCAGCAATAAGGTTGCGAAGGTCTTGAGAGAGCTCTTTGCTTTTGCCCATCATGAAATGTTTGTTCTATGATGCCTCTCGAGAGCGTGGCCCGTGTCAAGGGGGCGTGCCTCGTTGCCCGGCAACGCGGCACTGGGCCGGATGTTGCCAGGGAAACCAGAAGCATCCTGCCCGGCCTTAAGAAGGCTGGCGCAGGACTCTCCGGTTGTTCGTCCACTGTCTGAAGCTGCTGGGAGGTCTGCGCTGAGGCCAGACATCCGCAGCCAACCCCGCTGAGCACTCTGCATAATACTCCAGGGAAATTTGAGGACTATTACCCGCTGGGCACTCTGCATACTACTCCGGGATATTTTAGGACTATTACCCGCTGGGCGCTCTGCATAGTACTCCGGGAGATGTCGAGACGATTACCCGTTGGGCGCTCTGCATAATACTCCGGGAGATGTCGGGACTATTACCCGCTGGGCACTCTGCATTCTACTCCGGGAGATTGAGGATTATTACCCGCTGAACACTCTGCTAATACTCGGGGCTCAGGAGGAGTACCCGCTGCTACACTGCCTAATACTGTGGGGCCAGGATTGCCCGTGTTGCTGTGCGCTGGAAATACCCGCTGTGTGGATCCTCTGCTGTGTGCTGAGAAGTGTCGCTACCTGCTGTCAGCTGCTGTGAACCAGGAAAAACCCCTGCCAGAACTGTGAGTGTCCTTGCCCCGTTTTCCCCCTGTATGGACTATCCGTGAACTTTCCCCCCTTACTCTTCCCTGCCTGTATTACGATTTACCGGGGACTCCAAGTTTGCCCTCCCTGGGGCCGGATTACAATTATTTTGGCCCCTTCCCTGCTCCTCAAGTACTTGGACGCTACCCTCAGACCCAAATTGAGTGATTGTCATAATTCAATAAAGCTTTGAGTGTTTATCATCTTCTCGGTGTGTTCTGTCCCGCCTACGCTCCGTCACAGTCACTATGGTGACACTGTACTGTGCTAGGGTGACGGTATGTTAAAAAAAACTAAGAAAAAAAAACAAATAATATAAAAAAAAATAAAATGTAAAAAATATATTTTTTGAAAAATTAAAATTTTTTTTATAAACTAATTTGGGTTATTTTTTTTTTTTTTACTAAAAAGATAGCTGAATACATTTTGGCCAAGATTTATGAAGAAAGATTATTTGCAAAATGTTATAAGAAAAACTTTTTTTTTCAAAATGTTTGGACTTTTTCATTTACATAGCAAAGAAATAAAAATCCCAGTGGTGAATAAATACGACCAAAATAAAGCTTTATCTGTCTCAGAAAAATGCTAAAAAATTCATATGGGTACAGTGTTGCATGACCGCGCAATTGTCATTCAGAGTGATAGCACTGAAAGCTTAAAATTGGTCTGGACTGCAAGGGGGTGAAAATGTCCAGACTTGAAGTCGTTAAGGGTCCGAAGCTTTAATTTGCACACCTTGGTAGTGGGACACCTTTTAGTAGACCATCAGTTGAGACTGAAATGGCTGATATTAATTTGCACTGAAAAGGGGCAGGATTGCGTTCTAATTACTGAAAGATTTTAGCTGGTGTCTTGGCTTTCCATGCCTTTTTGCACCTCCCTTTCTTCATGGGTTCAATACTTTTCCCCTGTGCTATTTCTTTTTTTTTTTTTTACATATAAACTTAAATTTCTGAACTTATTTGTTTTGGTTTCTTTGTATGTATGGAATGCATGGGTTGTTACCAGCATGTTGTGAAAATTTCATGTCAATAGCAAGTTTAGAAATATATTTACCTAGAAAAATGGTGACACATTCATACTTTTTTTACCCGCTGTATTTAGTAATTCCTCTAATATAATTAATTCCTTTGCTCCTTTGAAGTAAAAATAAAGGCTACCTGTTTGGTGATCGTCTTGGCCCACGTCTTCAGTCAAATTCTGTGAAAAAAAAAAAAAAAATTAAAAAATCAGACAGGCACAAGACTAGATAGCATAAAACACATCTGTCATTCCTAAGTAATTTTTCCTAAGGCTACTTTTACATAATCAGGGCAATCCCAGATATCACCTGAAATGTAATTGCCAACATCTCTTCTATTGAAAGGAACAACATAATTGCAATTTTTACACAACACAGCAGAAGAGAGTTTATTTATTTCCTCAGTGAAGGCGCTTTAAATGGACAGGGAACATCCTTGAGGCATAGCCTCTTTTTCTATCAAACATTCAGGGCCTCATGTGCGGGAGGTCATTTAAATCCAGTAAGGAGCTGGTGTGTAATTAGTATTCCCATGATATATCGGCTTTTTTACTGCACTTTTTTTAATGTTTGCACTTTGATGCACAGTTGTATTGTTCACTACAAAAGTATATGTAAGTAAGTATATTATTTGATATATTTAAACAGATTGTGTATCAGATGTAATTTATTAAAGTGGTTCTAAAACCTAAACATTTTTTACCTTAATGCATTCCTTACATTAAGGTAAAATATGTAGGTAAAAGTATCACCCCCTCACCCCCAAATACTTTCCCATCTCAGTTCAGTGCTGTGCCCGTATGCAACTTTGCTTCTCTGTCCTCTCACGGCCTGGTCTCACAAGCTTTGCTGTCAGTCAAATTCTCTGATGAGGGATGGGGAGGGGGGACATGGACGGGGTTCGTGGGCCACACTGTTTGTGTCTATAGTCCGCAGATGTGTCACAATAGAAAGCGGCTTCCTATTGTGGCAAACCAAGATGAGAAGGAGTCAGGGGCACTGGCGGGGGCCCAAGAAGAGGAGGTTCAGGGCCACTGAACTTTTTTTGTACCAGCAGTGGGACTGTGCCCGCACTGCATGGGCCATCTGCTTGTTTTTATCTAGGGGTCATAAGAGTGAAGATATATTTACCGAACCCCCAGTCCTTGGAACCCAATACTGGTCCCTGCCGCCTCTCCCCCCCCCCCCCCCCCCCGCACGTTAGTGGTCTTGTTAAAGGACTGTTCCTGACGTCATCACGCCCATAGACTGGCTCTGGGCATGAGGACAAAAGGAACAGTCCACCGCTGGACATGGGGGAGTGTGGTTTTCCAGAGGATTGGAGGATGGGATAAATATAGCACAGCCCCACTGCATGGTTAAAAAAAAAAAAAAAAAAAAAACTTACATGGACTTCTGCTTTCAGTTTATATATGGTTTTTTACAATTATTTTTATAGATGCACTTTGCATATTTAGATTCAAATTTGGTATGGTTTTTCATGAATTTGTTTATTTGTGTCACTTGGGATATTTTAAAAGGGACAGTGCAACTTTTTTATTCAGTACAGCAGAATGGTAAGTCAAAGTTCACCTTTCAATTTAGAAGGGCCTATTTCCCTTACAACATTAAAAGGCACACAAGTTTAGAAAGTCTGTGAAATTCATGCAACAGCCTTTTACTGCCAACTAGCACCCACAAAAAAGCTGAATGCTATTGTACAAGCCTTGACATTCATGTAGTAAGTGCAAATTTCATCCAGAATGTCAAAATGTGTTCACAAACACCTAGGGGGTTAAAGGGGATATATTTTTACTTTACATTTTTACTTACCTTTTTTACATTCTTATTTTTTCTTCTATAGGGACCTGGATGAGATTGAGAGATTTGGAATTCCATGTACCTTTGCAGCAAAAGGTCTTTTAGAATACTGATCTAATGTTCAATTTTTAAGCTCCAGGATAAACAAATATTGTTAAGTGTATTCTTATTTGAATCTTGGTGTGTGTTGTTATGTATTTTTTCCCAGATCTGTGCAGTAATCCATTGTGAAACTTTGCCTCTATGCATACGTTTTCGGTAATAACTGAATAGCCATGACTAATAAGATGAAATAACACACATTTAGTTAACCTAACCTTATCCTACTTACAGTATATGAACTACAGTGCAAGTGTATTTACTGCACAAAATTTAATTTTAATACTAAACTGCTGCAGAGAATCTAATAATTAGATACAAATCCCTAAATAAAATTCTTATTTTCAAATACGTAATACTGTATTTAAATATTTTTTCATTACCAGCCTGTTGAGCGTGTGATATATCTTGTGAATATTTGCCAGTGTTGATAGGTGAGAGTTCAGCTGAAAATCTGAAAAACAGATTTTAAAAAATATGAATATATATATATATATATACACACACACATACACAACACACACACGGATACATTGCTTCTCTACATGCAAGAAACAGAATGGAATAAGGGAAAGCTGGCACATGCCACTATGGAACTGAAAATGCTAGTTTCAATACTTTAAGTCACTGGCCTAGAACAAGGGCAGTGTACAGTAGATACATTTGGAGTGAAATCAGAATTCCTTAAAAAGTCCCCCCAAATTAATGGTGAAACTAACAATATTTCAAACTAATAGATTCTGCCATTTTATTCAGCAATAGCTAGAACATTGACAGAACATAACATTTCTGTGGAGCTGTTCATCTTCTGAATTACTACACACTTGATGCAAGTCAGTCCAGGTTATGGACATTCAAATATTTACATTTTTAGGCACTAAATGAACTGTAAAAGAAGCCCGTGTTGACCTCTGTAGCTGTGGATTGCCTGCAACCAAAACTCTCCAGTGCTTCCAAAGTTTGAGAAACCTTGTTCTACGCCGCAGATGCAAACTGCCTTTTGCAAAATATTGAGAAGTACCTGCTGTACATAAAGAGGTCTATGCAGAATTTTCTGAAAAGTTGAATTCCTGTAGAAATTCGTAGGGCTCCTAATGCATGCTGAAGCCCCCAAGTAAAGGGTCAGTTCTCCCAAACTTAATATTTCTGTTTTTTGTGAGATGTCAGAGAGTTGAACCACTCTAATTTCTTAAATTTTCAGGGGCTCAATTGGCAAAATATCTGTGCTTGATGAGGGGAGATTGGGTTGGCCAAATGCATTATGCATGTTTTGGAGGTACTTCCTTTTATATCAAATAAGCAACTCAACACACCACAACACATACACCAGAAAACATTCACTGTGATGGTAACAAAAAAGAAAAGGAATGTTTTTGGTGCATGGAGGCATGTTGTGGACTCAGATAAAATGAATAGGAGTAAAGAACACTAATGTGCTGATGCATCAAGCAACGCACATCAATCTGATTGTGATAACACACGTGCATAGTCCTGAATGGGCTCTCAGCACTAATGTTTGCAATGATCAAGACTGCACCCCGCAATAATTTTTATGCTTTGGAGATACCAGAATAGAAACAGGCATCATTTGATTGTGCATCTAAGCAATCAGTAAAAGTTTTGTATTATTTTTTATATACCATATTGTGAAAAATTGATCCCACACAAAAAAAAAAAAAAATTTAAAAAAGGAACACTTTTTAATCAGAGTATATCATTAAGTCAATTAAACACCTGGGATATTGATCTCTGACCATATGTATCAGAAACAGACTTCATGAGGGTGACCTGAGGGCCCAACGTGCTCTAATGGGCCCTGTGCTCACTGCCCGGCACCATAGAGCTCGAATTGGCATTTGCCATAGAACACCAGAATTGGCAGGTCCACCACTGGAGCACTGTGCTTTCCACAGATGAGAGTAAGTTCACCCTGAGCACATGTGACAGATGTGAAAGGGGCAGAGAAGCCGTGGAGAATGTTATGCTGCCTGCAACATCCCTCAGCATGACCATTTTGGTGGTGGGTGTGTGGTGGGGAGGCATATCCATGGAGGGATGCACAGACCTCTACAGGCTAGACAATGGCACCCTGACTACCATTAGGTATCGGGATGAAATCCTTGGATCCATTGTCATACCCTACACTGGTGCAGTGGGTCCTGGGATCCTCCTGGTGCACAGCAATGCCCAGTCTTATGTGGCGAGAGTATGCAGGCAGTTTCTGGAGGATCAAGGAATTGATACCACTAAATGGTCCCCACGCTAATCTGACTTAAATCCAATAGAACACCTCTGGGATATCATGCTTTTGGTCCATCCAACGCCTCACCTCAGACTGTCCAGGAGCTCAGTGATGCCCAGGTCCAGACCTGGGAGGAAACACCCAGGACACCATCCATCGTCTCATAAGAAGTGGTGGACACATATGCAAACTGTTGTAATTCCTACACCGTTCACTTGATTTGGATGTAAATACCCTCAAATTAAAGCTGACAGTCTGCAGTTAAATCACATCTTGTTCGTTTCATTTCAAATCCATTGTGGTGGTGTATAGAGCCACAAATGTTAGAATTGTGTCGATGTCCCAATATTTATGGACCTGACTGTATTTAGATAGAGAGAGAAGGGGGGGGGGGGTGATGTGGATTCTGTATTTCTCACAGCTGGCAATATCTGTTTGGACAACATTTATGCTAAAAAGTAAAGTTTTACAGTTTGCATTTCTGCAAAAAAAAGTATGCATAAGATATGCACATGGTATGTAACATGCAGTAATTCATAGGAACCAATCGTAAAAATGTATCTTAACTAAGCTTTTTTTTTTTTTAGTTAACGCGGGATTCCACTCAAAAGTGGAAGCTCCGCCTGTTTAACTCCTCACCCCCACACAGCCATACTTTTTGTTTTTTTTTTGGGGGGGGGGGGCAATACCTGGTTTTGACAGGTACCCGCTCCCACTTCCAGCTCAGTTTGTCGTGGCGAAGTGAGCTGGAAGTTCAGCCCGCCTCCTTCCTCCTGCAGTCTTCTGGGATACTTCCCAGAAGACTGCCAGACCAATCAGGATGCACAGTGCGAATTGCAATGCACACCCAGCTGTGAAATCACAAGCTGTCACAGCCTGGTGCCCAAAGTTGAGATGCCGATGCCGGAACCGGGGAGAGGAGAGGGAGAAAAGGGATGGAGCGGGTGAGCACATCGCTGGACCCTGGGACAGGTGAATGTGTGTAAGTCAGCAGCAACAGTTTTTGTAGCTGCTGACTTTTATAAACACAAAAATGACTGGAACTCAGCTTTAACTAAAATGTGACTTCCACTGTGTTTTGCACTTTATCATTTATTAAAAAAAGCCCTTACAGAATACATAAACCCAACGCAGTGCTACATAGCAAAAAATGCCCTGGTCATGAAGGGGTAAAACCTTCCAGGGGGCAAGTGGTTAAAGCATATGTAAACCCTCACCTTTTAAAACAACCCATTTAGTTTAAAATGGGAAGCAAAAATATGTGTATGTATATATTTATTCATTTATATATACATACATACATACATACACACACTCACCGGCCACTTTATTATGTACACCTTGCTAGTACCAGCTTGGACCCCCTTTTTCCTTCAGAACTGCCTTAATTCTTCTTGGCATAGATTCAACAAGGTGTTAAAAACATTCCTCAGAGATTTTGGTCGATATTGACATGATAGCATCAAGCAGTTGGTGCAGATTTGTTGGCTGCGCATCAATGATGCAAATCTCCCATTCCACCACATCCCAAAGGTGCTCTATTGGATTGAGATCTGGTGACTGTGGAGGCCATTGTGCAGTGAACTCACTCACATTTAAGAAACCATTTTGAGATGATTTGAGCTTTGAGTGATTATCCTCAAGTGCAATCAGAAGATGGGTACACTGGTACAGAGTGTGGTCTTCCACTGCTGAAGCCCATCTGTTTCAGGGTTCGATGTGTTGTGCATTCAGAGATGGTATTCTGCATACCTTGTTTGTAACGAGTAGTTATTTGAGTTACTGTTGCCTCTCTCTCTCATTTCAATCCAGTCTGCCCATTTTCCTCCGACATCAACAAAACATTTTTGTCCATACAACTGCCACTCACTGGATATTTTCTCTTTTTCAGACCATTCTCTATAAACACTAGAGGTGGATGTGCATGAAAATCCCAGTAGATCAGCAGTTTATGAAATACTCAGACCAGCCCATCTGGCACCAACAACCATCCCACGTTCAAAGTCACTTAAATCCCCTTTCTTCCCCATGCTGATGCTCAGTTTGAACTTCAGCAAGTAGTCTTCACCACGTCTAGATGCCTATATACATTGAGTTGCTGCCATGTGATTGGTTGATTCACAATTTGTGTTACTAAGCAAATTGAACAGGTGTCCCTGAATAAAAGTGGCCAGTGAGAGTGTGTGTATAAACAATAAAAATACCTTCCCCCCCCCTTTTTATATAAATGATAGCATACACTCTGTTCTCAGCTGCATAAGGAGCTCACGGAGGAGAAACAGCAGTACACTGAACCTCCCAGTGAATAGTGTAATCATTAAAGGAGAGCAGGCTGAGTTCCCAGCACAGCTAGAGAACTGACCACTCTGTGCTCTCATGCCTAGTGTGTTCAATTTTTATTAGGAAAGCAGAAGGACTGGGAAGAACACCAGTGATTTCACACAAAGTAATTCAAAGAAAAACAGGATATATTTTCATACAAGTACATGGTGCTGCAGCAGGCACACATCAGCAGTACAAATGCTTTTATATTCTTTAAAAAAAGAAGTCTCACTAGACTTTTAAAAGTCTCAAAACTATTTCCCTATGGTACAAATAGAAGAAGCAATAGTCTGGTCATGTCCACTGGGTGAGGATGTCACTGTCTGCCAGGGCTCATACATCAGGGTGGTACTCAGAGGTGTCAATGATCCTTTCCGGTCAAAAGGAAAATCTTGTGTGTGCCAACCATACCTCCTCCCTCTACAAAGCAAGCAGAAATGTTCAGCAGTTCAGGACTGAAGCAAGCATGGGATGAAATTATGATTGCTCATCTGAAGGTTAGGAAATTGTAATGTCTGTGGGGAGAGATTTGCTGACAGCTTTCTCAGTGCGTACCTGGAGGATGATAAGCTTATACAGTCCAGCTTCAGGTATAAATGTAGTTAGGTCCATATGTATATTTGGACACAGGCACAATTTTCATACTTTTTGCTCTGTATGCCACCAGAATAAAATTAAAACAAAACAATCCAAATGAATTTGAAGTGCAGACTTTCAGCTTTAATTGAAGGGGTTGAACATACAGGTGAAACTCGAAAAATTGGAATATTGTGCAAAAGTTCATTTATTTCAGTAACGCAACTTAAAAGGTGAAACTAATATATGAGATAGACTCATTACATGCAAAGCAAGATAGTTCAAGCCGTGATTTGTCATAATTGTGATGATTATGGCTTACAGCTCATGAAAACCCCAAATCCACAATCTCAGAAAATTAGAATATTACATGCAATCAATAAAACAAGGATTGTACATAGAACAATATCGGACCTCTGAAAAGTATAAGCATGCATATGTACT